TGCTACCGCGTGATATTGATGCTTCTCAAAATCACTTTGGATTCATGTCGGGTAGGTCGACTATGGAAGCCATACATTTATTAAGAGGTTTGATGGAGAAATATAGAGAAAATAAGGAGGGTCTACATATGATATTTATTGATTTAGAAAAAGCATATGATAAAGTTCCAAGAGAAGTGCTATGGGGAGTTCTTGAAAAGAAAGGAGTTAATAACGCTTATATTCAAATCATTAAAGATATGTATGCAGGAGCTATTACTTGTGTTCAAACACAAGGTGGATTGACCAAGTATTTTCCTATTTCGGTTGGGTTACATCAAGGATCAGCCTTAAGCCCATATCTTTTTGCTTTAGTCTTGGATGTTCTCACTAGACATTTGCAAGAGGATGTACCTTTGTGTATGCTTTTTGCTGATGATATTCTTCTTGTTGATAAGACTAGAGAGGGAGTTGAAGGTAAACTTGAATTATGGAGGTCAACTTTAGAGTCTAAAGGTTTTCGCTTGAGTAGATCTAAAACGGAATATATTGAGTGTAATTTTAGTAGTAATAGATCTAGTGAGGGGATTGTGACTTTGGGTATACGTTTTAGATATCTTGGATCTATTGTTCAGAGTGATGGTGAAATAGATGGGGATATTATCAGCAGAATTCAAGTTGGATGGTTGAAGTGGAGGAATGCATCGGGCTTGTTATGTGATAGAAATGTACCCCTCAAACTTAAGGGAAAATTCTATAAGATGGTAGTGAGGCCTGCAATGCTTTATGGTGCCGAATGTTGGCCTTTAAAAGAGAAGCATAATACTAAGTTAAGTGTGGCAGAGATGAGGATGCTCAGGTGGATGAGTGGCTTTACCCTTAGAGATAGGATACGAAATGAGCATATACGTGAAAAGGTTGGAGTAGCTACAGTAGAAGATAAGATTAGAGAAAGTCGCCTTAGATGGTTTGGTCACATAAAACGGCGGCCTTGCGATGACCCGGTTAGGAGAGTAGAGGTATTAGATTTGACTTATGTTAAGAAAGGTAGGGGTAGACCTAAAAAGACTTGGTTAGAAAATATTAGGAATGACCTTTCTTTATTAGATTTAAACGAGAATTTGACTTTTAATAGGACACAATGGAGAAAAAGGATTCATGTAGCCGACCCCACGTAGTGGGATAAAGGCTTGATGTTGTTGTTGTTGTTGTGGTTAGCTCATTATGAGCTGATGTTTAGTTCATTAATTGGTGAAGAAATCAGCTCATAAAGCCTTCCCCTTCCGCTTGTCTTCTCGGTTTCTGCTGGCTGTTATTGTTCCCGTGGTCACTCCCTCTCGGTTTCACCCCCTGGTTATTTTCCCGTGAAGTGCTGCCCTATTTCCTATGCTGGCTTTTCGGGGGGTCCCTTGCTGGCTGGGCTTCCCGTGACTTTTGGCTAGGTTTCCCGTAGCTTCTCTCCCAGTTTTCTGTGCAGAATTTCTGCTGGCTGTTATGTGTCTTTTGACCTTTCCTCTTCCCCTTAGCTAATTGGTTTGATTGGGAATTTTAGGTGGCTGTTTGGCTGCCATTTTCTTCTATATATAGGAGATATTTGTATGTTTAAAAGGAGATGATATGTGAGTGATTTTTGGAATAGAAAGCCTGCGGGTTTTGTTGGAAAAGCTTGCGAGCTTGTTCCACTTCTTCTTCTTCTACTTCTTGGGAAGGCTTGCGAGCTTCTCCTATACTTCATCTCAGCTTTTAATCTAATTCTTCTTCCCGCAAGTATCCACCCCATCAGTATCTTTCTTCTCAACGATTGGCAAGCTCTTTAGGTGTATTTAATTTGTGTTTGTGTTAAAGTTTGTAAGTGTCAAGAGTTGTAATTGTCTTTTATAATATAAAAGGTGTCTTTTTTGTATTTTGTATTATTTTTATTATCCTAGGAAGAGTTGTCTTTTTGCTTGCAAGAATTAGGCTTTCTCCTAATTTTTGCTTGCATCAAAATTGGTATCAGAGCAGGTGAGCAAATCCCGGTTTGTTGTGCGAGTCTTGTTATCAAGTGATTTAAATTTTGTTGAGTCTTCTTTTAGAAAAAATGGAAAAACACAAAAATACAGAACTAGTGGTGGAAGAAAATCAGTCCAAAGATATCGAAGAAATTATTCCAATGAACAGATGGGTTCCGACATAAGGTGATTCGACAGATACCCTGCAAAATGAGCTATACAAACTTCAGTCGTGGTTGCATAAGAAAATTATTTGAAGAAAAGGAAACGTCTGCAAGAACAGTTCAAGCAAGAGCGAGGTGAAATCCTAAAAAAGTATGCTACAAAAATTCAAGAGCTTGAAGTGCCTACTTTGTCTCCTCGGGAAAAATCGAAAGCTTCCTCATCAGGAGATGAGCTTTTTTAAGTGGGGGAGAATTGATGTAGGCAGGGGGCGGGTCAAAACAAATCCTAAATTTTGGCCTTGGCTGCTCTTGGATTGTCCTTAGCTGCTCTCTGTGCAGAATTTCTGCTGGCTGTTATGTGTCTTTTGGCCTTTCCTCTTCCCCTTAGCTGATTGAGTTGATTGGGAATTTTTGGTAGCTGTTTGGCTTCCCTTTTCTTCTATATATAGGAGATGTTTTGTATGTTTAAAAGGAGATGATACGTGAGTGATTTTTAGAATAGAAAGCCTGCGGGTTTTGTTGGAAAAGCTTGCGAGCTTGTTCCACTTCTTCTTCTACTTCTTGGGAAGGCTTGCGAGCTTCTCCTATACTTCGTCTCAACTTCTAATCTCATTCTTCTTCCCGCAAGTATCCACCCCATCAGTATCTTTCTTCCCAACGATTGGCAAGATCCTTTAGGTGTCTTTAATTTGTGTTTGTGTCAAAGTTTGTAAGTGTTAAGAGTTGTAATTGTCTTTTATAATATAAAAGGTGCCTTTTTTGTATTTTGTGTTATTTTTATTATCCTAGGAAGAGTTGTATTTTTGCTTACAAGAATTAGGCTTTCTCATAATTCTTCCTTGCATCAAAATTGATAGCAGTGCAGCAATATCCATTGAAGTAGACCCATCCGACAAGAATACAAACTAATGAGGACATTAGCAGGAGATTCCGAAGCGTCTATCACCGGAGGAATCGTAGATCGACGGTTATGATTAGGAGTTTTTATTTATGATGCATTTTATGTAATATTTTTTTTTAATGTTTTAGTCTTTACGATTGTACCATAGTGAGATATTAGTTTGTGTTATAACCCAGAGGGCATTTTAGTCTTTGTGTCTTTTATTGTTTTGAGGCCTATATATGAGGGCCCTAATAATTGTATGAGGATGATGATTAATGAAAACTTTTCGCATACATATTCTCTTGAATGTTGAGAGCTATAGAGAGAGGAGAAGTCCCTAGGTGAGGGCAAAAGCAACTCCCGCCAGCTGTAGGAAGTGTCCGGGCTCTCGGTTTCCACTACCCCTTCTGTTCCTCCCTCCCTTTCTTCTCTCCAAACCACCGGCCT